CGTTGGTGTCGTTCCTAAGTGAACTAAAGAACAATAAAGAAAATCAACAAAAAATAGACATTGTTAATTCTCAAAAGTACTTTATCTTTAATTCTATCCCCCTTCCCTTGTATATTATTTCTTTTTTTTCTTTGCGGGTAAGTTGGGATGATGATCGGGGATTTCTTTTACTGATGTGCACATGTTGCTCATCGAATGCTTTCACAATTTGTATTATTAGATTTTTTATAACTTTACTATTTGACAGTATTATTCTTACAAATCCTACCATTTTTTTTAAACCTCCCCTTTTTTTCCTGTAATTAATATACTATTCCTTTTTTTATCTTCTTTCGTGTACGATATTTTTTATTATCATCAATTCGATGCTAACACTTTGCTCATTCATTAATCCGTTTTGAATTATATTCATTTCTTAATCAATATCCCTATTTGTTCTTTTCTTTCATCATTATCATTTTCCCCGATCATCATTCATATTATAAGAACTGGCATTACAAAATAGTACTAGTGCTAGTATATATATATATAGCTCTTTTTTATTCTTCTAACTTGCATTTCTCATCGAATTACATTTTACAAAAAAAAATCACACCACGAATATTTTTTCATCCCTTCCCTATTTGCTGTGCAAAAACACATATACATATATCTATAACTCATTAAAAATATAAATAGTTTAGAAAATGGACTTTCAACCATAGTTGATTATATATATATATATATATATTTATGAATAAAGCATTGAGTCTCTTATCGTGAAAATCATCCAATTGAGAAAGAAAATAATTTGACACATGATATACACAAGGTGCACAAGGTGCTGATTGTCAATCAGAAATGATTATCGGAAAAAACTTTTTTAGGATACAGAATATGGTAAAAAAAGGTATTAAAAACCTTCTTGGGTAGTATAATACATGTATCGTGTATGATATTGATTGGTGATGACAGATGAGGTTGAAGGTTATATCTAGTTTTCGATGATCATGTTTATTGAATCACTTTCCTTTAAAGGTAGTCTCACGAGCACAATAGAATAAAATAAAATTTAAAATACGATTCTTTGACCGTCCGTTGATATTGTTATTAATTTTGTAGAGAAACAAAATTTACGAGCGTAACTTTTATCTTTAAAAGCGAATCAAAAAAAGAATCCCGAGAAAGGAAGAAGATGACTCCTGAGCATGTTGAAGAACCTTTCGTTGATACCTTCGATGTCATTATTTTGCTGGTGTCTGTAATCTGTGGGGCACTTTATTTTTACCGGGAAAAATTTTGCGGAAAAACTGAAGTGCCTCCACCTCCACCTATAACTACACCAAACCGAGGACTTGTCAAGAAGAAGAACAAAGACTTCGTGCAAAAGATGCGGGATCAGGTAAATCGTCGCATTCCTTGAATTTATACGAAAAATAAACCTTGACAATACTTGATTCACGTGATCATCGCATATTCGTTTAGGATAAAAATGTAGTTCTCTTTTATGGTTCACAAACGGGGACAGCAGAAGATTATGCTTCTCGACTAGCAAAAGAAGGTGCACAACGTTTTGGACTTCGAACGATGACTGTAGATGTCGAAGATTGTGATATGGAATTGCTTGATAAATTTCCCGAGGATTGCATGGCGTTCTTCATGATGGCTACTTATGGTATTCTTGTAATTCTGAATTAAGAAAAATAGTTTTTCTAGATTCACATGTTAATAACAAATAACCATAGGTGAAGGTGAGCCAACTGATGATGCAGTTGAGTTTTGGGAACTACTTAATTCAGAGTGTCCCGAATTCTCACAGGGTGGTGCACCAGAAAGCAAACCACTATCAAACCTGAGATATGTTGTATTCGCACTGGGTAACAAAACCTACGAGCATTTTAATGCGGTTGGACGTTACGTTGACAAAAGATTAGAGGAATTGGGCGCACATAGAGTTTATAGAAAAGGTGAAGGTGATGATGATGGCAGTTTGGAGGAAGATTTTCTTGGTTGGAAGGAAGATATGTGGAAAGCTGTTTGTGAGGCAATGAATGTAGATCTAAACGCTGTGCAACCTGGGTATCTTATCTTTCTTTATTTATCATTTTTCAAATAACTTTATATGGATTAGTAATTAATCTGATCAATCATGCATATCACAAATGACATAGGACTCGTATTCCTACTTATTCTATTGAGGAATTGGATGTATATGATAAAGCTAAGGTCTTTTATGGTGAAATTAACGAAAAAGCATTTACTTCTAACGGAATGCAAGTATCAATTATGATGATATTACAAGAGTCCTACTTTCTTCACTCAAATAATGAATCTCATATTTGATCAATAGTTCTCATATGTACGACGCGAAGAATCCATATCCATCACCTATTCAACGGACTCGAGAACTCTTTAATGCTACCGATAGAAATTGTGTTCACATGGAATTGGATATAACAGGATCAGGAATAACCTATCAATCAGGTGATCACGTAGCCGTATGGCCCATGAATTCGGAGCAAGATGTGTATCGATTGCTCAAAGTTTTAGGTCTTTGGGAAAAACGGGATAAAATTGTCAAAGTAACAAACACAGATTGTAAGTGTCATATGTAAAGTACCATTCATATAAGATATCTACGATCTAATAAAATATTCTGTTTAGCATCGGCCTCAAAGGAACATCCATTCCCTGTACCAACAACTTATGCTACAATTTTCCGAAATTATCTTGATATCCATGCACCCGTATCGCGACAGTTTATTGCTACGTTAGCAAATTACATACCAAGTCAGGAAGGACGAGCAAAATTAACCACGTTGGGTGAAGATAAAGAAGCCTATAAAAGACAAGTGACGGATGCTCATCTAACGCTTGGTGAACTTCTCGAATCAGTCGCACAAAATGGTAAAACATTGGAAGAAGTTCCATTAGACCTAATAATCGAAACTTTGCCAAGACTACAATGTCGATATTATTCTATCTCTAGTACACCCAAAGTCTCACCTAATTCGATTCACATAACCGCTACTGTTCTAAGTTACAAGCCAATTGCCGCACCCACAAAAACTGTATATGGATTAGCCACCAATTATTTGCTACAGGTACATCGTAAACTGGAAAATATCAAACATCCAGAGTCAGCACCATACTATCTATATTCGGGACCACGGGAGAAATTCTATGATAAGGAAACGAATACAATCAAATTGGCATTACATGTTCGACATACAAACTTCAAATTACCACGCAATTTGGAAACACCGGTTATTATGGTCGGACCTGGCACCGGGGTTGCGCCATTCAGAGGATTTGTGCTGGAGCGAGCGAAATTCAAATCTGAGGGTGAATCAGTTGGCGATACCGTGTTATTCTATGGGTGTAGAAAAGAAAACGAAGATTTCTTGTATAAAGATGAATTACGACAAGTGTTTGCTCGACTTGGCGATAGTGGTAAATTATTTACCGCATTTTCGAGAGAGCAGGTAAGTTTTTAGAACATCAATGATCATATTTTGATAGTGATGTTCAATAATTTAATCAATCAATTTATAGGAACATAAAGTGTACGTGCAACATCGTATCGCAGAAAATGCAGAATATATATGGCGTCTACTTTATGATCGTGGTGGCTTTTTCTATGTATGCGGGTATGTGTTTTAAGAATTATTTAAACTTTCATATCATTTAAAATTTATCTTTTTATTTATATTGACTGAATCACTTTATAAAGTGATGCCAAAAATATGGCTCACGATGTAAACGGCGCGCTAATACGCATTGCACAACAGTATGGAAATATGGATGAAACACGTGCTACCGCTTATGTGAAAGATTTAAGAAATCAAGGAAAATATCAAGAAGATGTTTGGAGCTAAAATGAGTCTCCTCTTAATATTTTCTTGTGACTTTTTGTTGATCGAAGGAAGGCAGAGAGGCAGAGTAATGATGAGCGGCCCAAAGGAAGATGATTTGGATTCCTAATACACAGATATGACGGATATTTAACCATAGATACATCGAGTAATAAATCACTTTTTATGAAAATTTTCTTCGCATTAACAAAATTAATTACCAAATTACACGCATGCATATATTTTTATCTCTTATATTTTAGATGATGAGGAAAATATGGACATTATTTCATCGGCGAACAAATTCATGTTGCTTTCTTTATTCTTAATTCATTAATAATTATTTAATTAATTCGCTTTAATTCTTTCATTGTCGTATGTATAGATTAATTTATTGCAGATTTGAGATTTCCTGAAACAAGTAGAATTTTAATTTATATAAAAAGTATATTCACGCACAGTGTGATTCAAAATTATTTGGAAAATGATTATCATTAATCATCACATATGAAATGTACTACAAAAAATAGATGAATAGATATCCAGTAAACTACCCACAGATTCTCAATCCTTTAATTCTTCTTTTTGTGACGAGTCTCTAAATTGAAATGGCTGCTACCACCTTTCGTGACCACGACAAATGATCTTATCTTATTGAAACCGGGACATACGTTCTACCAAAAAATACATACAGCAACAAAAATACCAATGTTAACTATCTAAAAAAGCTCAGGAAAACTGAAAAAGTAACACAATCAAAAGAGATGGATCGTTCAAAGGTAATTTCGCAAGAAATGTCACAAAAAATCAGGCGGCAAATCCAAAAAAATCCTTCTATGTCAACAAGAAGTTTGGTGGCAGAATTAGGTAGAACAGTATCTTAACTGACTATTTTAAGATATTTGTGGAATCATGACTATAAAAATGATATCCCAAAAGCTTTGCCAATGCTTACCTTGTAACATAAAGAGAAACGGGTGGAGTGGGCCAAAAAATATATAAATGATAATTGGAACAAACCTTTTTTTACAGATGAAACTGCATTTCAACTCTTCTATAACACAATTGGTCAGTGGCATAAGGGTCCAAGACCAGTTCGTTGAATTCCTAAAGATAGGAGAAAAATCTTTGCTTGGGGTGGGTTTTGTAAAGCAGGTAAAGTTGATTTATTTTATTTTAGAAGGACAATGAATGTCGAATTTTATATAGATATTTTAAAAAATAATATTGTGGATATTAATGCTCTTCTGAGAAGAAAATGGAGGTTTCAACAGGATAACGATCCAAAACATATGAGCCATCTTGCAAAGTCTTATCTCGAATCTAATGTCCCCAAAGTTATTGATTGGCCATCTTGTAATCTGGATTTAAATCTAATCAAAAACCTATGGAATATAGTCAAAAGAAACGTAGAAAAAAGAAAACCAAAAAATTTGGACCAATTAGAAGGAGAAATTCCAAATGATACATTAGAGAGTTTAGTAAAATTGATGAAATAAAGATGTATGCTAGTAATAGAGAGTAAAGACAATACTATTGATTACTAAAAATTTTTTTAACAAAATACATGTTTTTATCTTTCAAATAAATGTATTTTTTTTATTATAATTGGTTTGGTAATTGCGGAGTAATAATAAATTTATTTTTCCAAATAATTTTGAATACGCGTAATATATATTACATGCAACGCATCTATCATATCAAAAATAGCAATTCAATATGTTAAATTTTTCTAAATCCGATCAATGTTTTTAATAGAACAGAATAAAACCAACTCATTAAGATTTAGAATCAGCAGCCAAAGAACCGGTCTTTTCCACAAAATTTTTAATGAATGTGGGATCTCGTGATCCGATAAAAGTGTCAACTTCTTTTCCCTTATGAAAAGCTTTCACCGTTGGTAACGAACTGATCTGTTGTCGGTATTATTGCCATTTTCGACGACATTATGAGTATCGTATTTCAAATAAGATACGATCAATTGCGGAATCGTCCAATTAAAATAATCTTTACTTTGATACTTACTTTAAACTTTTCGGCGACTTGTTTATTCTCGTCAACGTCTACTTTCACAAGCGTAACTTTTTTATTATCTTTCACCGCTTTTCCTATTATTGGACCGATACTTCTACATGGTCCACACCAACTATCATTTATAATAAATAATTACCCAGGTTAATAAAGTCCATGCAACATCCAAATGTTCTCTTTATACTCACTCCGCATAAAAGTCCACTATAACAGGTTCACTGGCTTGTTCGACCAGTTTCTCGAAATTTTCGTCAGTCCCCCTCAATTCTTGTCCAGTTCGTGCCACTTGTGAACTATGAAAATAGCATTGTGGTCTCCGATTGGATAAGGCTTAGTATCAATGTATAATAATTTTAGGATGAAGCAACGAGATAACGATTTTCTCAAAGGGAAAACTCAAAAAAACACGTACGCGATAGAAAGCATCGTGTAGTGAGAGCAAAAAGACGTTGATTGAACATTTTTTTTTGTTTTGTGCTCTTTTTACAAAAAATCCTATTTAAAACTCCTCAAATTTGCCTTGTTATAGTTTAGACGTTTTTCAAAGTGATGTAATACATGATCATTTTCCCTTGTAAAAAAAATCACCCACTTAACGCTAATAGCAAATTTAATTTA